GCAAATGTTTGCCCTGTGTTGCAGGTGGAGGGGGTGGAGTGCCCCAAAATAACTCAGGGGTCAAACTCAGGTCATAAGATACAGTGGTACCTCGGGTTACATACGCTTCAGGTTACATACGCTTCAGGTTACAGACTCCGCTAACCCAGAAATATTACCTTGGGTTAAGAACTTTGCTTCAGGATGAGAACAGAAATTGTGCTCAGGCAGCGTGGCAGCAGCAGGAGGCCCCATTAGCTAAAGTGGTGCTTCAGGTTAAGAAGAGTTTCAGGTTAAGTATGGACCTCCGGAACGAATTAAGTACTTAACCTGAGGTACCACGGTACCTGACATATAAAATGCCAACAGGGGAAGCATTTCTCATATGAGAAAAGCCTTGCCTTGCTTCATTTCTGTCCATCACACAGCTGTGAAAGGCACATGAGCCCTGCTCTTCCACAGTGCCAACCCTAACCCATGCAAAGAATTTGAGTTTCATGAGTTGTGAAGCAGGTATGCTACAGAAGATCTTTCACCTGCTTAGGCTGGCAATACTATATTCAGTGCAAGACGTAGGTGTCATATGGGGGCGTCAAAAGTGATTTAACAGTTCTGTTCAGATGCTCATACTTGGCTGAATACAAGATTCAAATAGTTAAAAAGCAAATGTTTATTCATTGTCTTCTTGGGGCAGGTAGGTGGTGAAGCAGAAGGCCCTTTTGTGAATCAATATAGCCGTGTCTTTAATCCAAATGTTACTGTGGAAAACTCCATTTTTCTTAAACACACTTCCTCTCCTTCCATCACTGCATTCTTTTCCATATCCAGATTTATTTCTTATGCCCATTCTTTTGGTTCTCAACTGGATTATTTCAGGGGAAAGCAAGTGAGAGGGGACTGCCCTGGAGGCTGAAGGGCAAAATGCTGGAGTGGAACTGGAAACTTCCCAACCCAGTGTTTTTTCTTCAGTCTCCAAGGCAGCCCCCATCCCATCCTCCTGAGATGATCTATCTAGTCTCCATTCCAGTTCAAATGAAAATAAACAATAAATACCTCCTCCAATCCAGAATGTCCACTCTCCACTTCTGTCTGTCAGCACTCCAGTCTCCCTTGGTCAATTTGTATCGTCACCTTCTCAGGCTCATGAAGAAGAAGAAGAAGAGGAAGAGGAGGAGGAGGAGGAGTTTGGACTTGATATCCCGCCTTTCACTTCCCTTAAGGAGTCTCAAAGCGGCTAACTATCTCCTTTCCCTTCCTCCCCCACAACAAACACTCTGTGAGATGAGTGAGGCTGAGAGACTTCAGAGAAGTGTGACTAGCCCAAGGTCACCCAGCAGATGCATGTGGAGGAGCGTGGAAGTGAACCCGGTTCACCAGATTACGAGTCCACTGCTCTTAACCACTACACCACGCTGGCTCAAGAACAAAATACCATCTAGGAGTTGCTGTATGTAGGCAGCAGAGCTCAGCTGCTGTTGCTCTCCTTCCTGTGCTCCATTCACAACTACATGCAACACATTTGTTCCAAGAAGTAGATGCAAAGTCAAGAGTTGGGGCTAAAAGCGAATCCCTGCTCCGCAGTCATCACACAATTGGCCTACAGACAAGTAACACACAAAGAGAGCTAAAGAAACAGCATCCAGTGCCCTCACTCTTTTCACTTATGGAACTCTGTGAAATGATCTGAACCCTGCCTGAAGGAAAAGAGTAGCAGGGTCATATGTATTACTGGATAATTGAAGTGGGGAGGAAAGTTGCACTGGCAACTTGAACAAATCATTAATTTGATCCTAGCTAAGAATCATTTATTGATATTGCTCCATAATCATTATCTCTAGAGTCTGATTTATCCATAGCACAGCTAATGTTCAAGGCTTAGGTATATTACTATATTTCCTTATCTTATTAACACAGCACTGTTGAGACAATATTGTTAGGCCAGTTGCACAGAAGGAAAATGGAAGATGAGTAATAGTCACTTGTTCCATCTCCCTTTTCTATGCTGATACTGCAGACCTACATAAGTCTATGCAGTTATATCTGCCCATTGCATTGTATCATCCAAATGGAGTTTCCCAGTCAGGGAATTAATTCCCTATCAAATAGTCCATTTACCATGAGTTGAGTGGGCACAATTCATGCTAATGTCTTCTGTAATGTCTCATTCAAAAACGAATTTTTGCTATTGATTTATATTGTTATGTCTTTTCTTCACCAAGTATTTCATTAATTCTGTAGGAACCTAGGGTTGCCATATTTCAGAAAGTGAAAATCTGGACAAAAATGTTCCCCCCTCAATTTTTTTTGAGGTGGGGGAGCTTTTTTTGCTGTTTTTTGGCTACTTTTAAGAAAATTGGCAAAAGAAGAGTGGAAGTTAGACAGTTGTCTTGTGGAAAACAAGGAGGTTCTGAAATAAGGGACATTTTTGTACCAATAATTTACACTCCAGAAAGTGTGGGATGCCTTGATGTGTTTGTGAGCTTATGTTCAGGTTTCCCTGGACGTTCAGAACAGACATAACTAATTCCACCCAGACACCATTTTAGGGATTGAAATGCCAGCGATGTCCAGGATTTTCTGGACGTATGGCAGCCCTACAGGAACCATCACTGATTTAGGTGCTCCACCAGTATTATACCGGACAACTATATTTCAATTACTAGAGAGCATGCCAACAGCTCTCTGTTTTGAATAAACTGTTCATCTCTTCTTTAGAGAGAGGACGTGATACTTGGGGTGTGTTTGTGTGCCTGTACCTAAAAGTGTAGCTCTCTGGGGGAATATAGGGATATCCTAACAACTCTAAAAACCTTTATTTTACCACCGTTCCTAAGATTCTTCTGGGGAAGCCATGACTGTTTAAATTGATATGATATTGCTTTAAATGTGTAGTACACCTAGGACCTGAATTAGGAAGTAGAACTAGATGTGACACCATTGATGCAATTAAAATTGCATGGATGGCTTTCAAAATGAGAATCTGTAGACACAGAGAACTGGATCTGGAAGACTTTATATTCTGTGCCCCCACCTGCTGTCCTGATCAGGACCGTATCCTCTGCACCCTCTATTTGTACTGGAGGGAAATCTTTATTTGGAGTGTATGGGAGAATTCCTCAATGTAAATAGCTGGTAAAGGAAACCTGATCTGAATCAGGATCACTCTGGGGAGCAGGGGCAAAGAGGTCATGCCCCCTGCCACTCCCATTCCAGAGAGGACCAGATTGCAATCCCCTGTCCTTCAACCCTGCATCTACAATATAATTTTTAAAAAGCAATTCACACAATTGCTAATTGTATGAATGATGTGAAATCCAGTTCATCCTTTAGCCAAAACAGCTGCAGGGATTTTAATGGAAGTCAAAAGAAATCCAATGAAATTAGCCAACCACCTCAGGGGGTTCTGCGCATCTTTGTGTGATGCTGACTTTCAGCTGCAGTCAGCTTCAGAGTGAATTTGGAAGGTCCTCAGGTTACACACCCATATGAATTTTGAGGAAAGTTAAAAGAGACTTGATAGGATTAGCAAAATTTCTTAAGGGATTTCCACACATATTTAATAAAGCCTCTCATTCACTCTTACCTTCTACAAGTCAAATGTTTAGGGACACCCCTGGTGAGAGCATGCATCGCCTGAATATATGAGATGCGAGCCATTGATATTCCTCCCTTGCCTTCCTGCATATTGCCTTAAAGGTTTCACTTTAGATACATTTCCACGGAATTCCTCTCATTCTCGCTGTCTCAGCTGCCACTCTGACATTTGACACTTAGTTCATTTGTTGGATACTATAGGTGAATTGATATTTGGAGCCAGGTCTCATTTCCCCTTCACAGATTAGCTTTCCAGGATGCTGAAAGAATTGTGAAATGCCATTTGTATCTAGCTTGGAGGGAAACCATTGCTGATACATGAAATCCGAACTTTCTTAAAGTTCACTCAGTAAGAGGCACTTGTCACAAGGAATAAATGATGACATTAAAAAGGCCTTTAATTTCAATTGGCATTTCTGAGTTTTGCACTGCAGGTGGCTGTTTGGCTGAAAAGCAATGTTCCCCACGACTTTGTGAACTCAGTGCAAGGGACTTGGAGCCTGAGAGCCCACACAATTATACGTTGCTTTAAAAGAAGGTCTGTTTCTACAGGATTAAATATTCAAAATTGCATGTTGAGGGAGCAATCCTAGGCACAAGAAACTGGTGCTAAGCAAGCTGGTGTAAAGGTAAGCTGCAGAAAGTTACACCACTTCATTTTCATTTCATTTCACATTTTGTTTCACTTTTAATTTTAATATTTTAATATTGTTATACACAAGGCAGTTTACAGCAACAAAATATACAACAAAGAGCACATATCTTAGAATAAACTGATCCAATACAAAAAGTCATGCTAAAACATAACATATAAAATAAAGTAATATTCAATAATCTATTAGAATATAGTAGTACACAATAAAACTAACACTCAAAACACCAGCAAATAATAAACAGAAATTTACTTTTTACAATTACAACAAATAATTACTAAAATATGGTCAATAAAAATAACAGCCAGTCACAATCTTCTTCTTCTTCCTCTTCCTCCTCTCCTCCTCCTCCTCCTCTTTGGAAATCACTCATAGCCAAGTAAGATGGTCTTCCATGAACATGGTCTTAACAGTGAGTCTGTAAGTGACTGTGGAGGTCAATTCTGGATCCACACGTCCTTCCACAGTGGGGACATAGGTTTCCAGGCAGGAGTTGATCAAGGTGAGTGTTTGCCAAATGTGTTTTCCTCTTAGCACGTTTCTCCCTTTTGTCCTGAGTTCGAATGTCTTCAAAGCCCACGACCCCTTTGGTAAAGACTGTTCTCCAATTGAAGCATTCGCAGGCCAGTGTTTCCCAGTTGTTGGTGTTTCTCCTACATTTTTTTTTTTTAGATTTGCCTTGAGAGAGTTTTTAAACCTCTTTTGTTGGCCACCTGCATTACGCTTTCCATTTTTAAGCTCGGAATAGAGTAGTTGCTTTGGAAGACGATAATCTTTTTCTTTTTTTTTTAAAGAATATTTATTCCAGTTTTAAAGTTACAAAAAAAATATAGAAAAAACAAACCACACGCATCTTACAAAAAACAGACAATAAAAAAGAAATAAGAAAAAACAAAGAATCACAGTAAAAAATAACAAAAATCAAATTAGACCTTTACAACCTTTTTCCCTTTTACCTATTTCCAAGACTTCCTCTCACCTCCCTGCTTTGTATTCTAGTTTAAATCGTATCTCCAGCAAAACCTTCTAACCTTCTTTTCTTTTACTTATTTTAACATTTGAAAGTATTTAATTCTCCTCTATCCTCATTTTACGCTTCATATTTACTTATTCCATTGTACCATGTCTGCCAATACGGCCTAATATTCTTTTCCAACCTTTTTCTAACATTATTTTATATTACAGTGTTTCTGAAGATATATTTTAAATTTTCTCCAGTCTTCTTCCATCAACCCTTCTTCCTGATCTCGAATTCTGCCGGTCATCTCAGCCAGTTCCATATAGTCCATCACTTTCATCTGCCATTCTTCTCGGGTAGGCAATTCTTGTGTCTTCCAATATTTCCCAATGAGTATTCTTGCCGCTGCTGTCGCATACATAAAAAAATTCCTATCTTCCCTTCGCACCAATTGGCCGACCATGCCCAAGAGGAAGGCCTCTGGTTTCTTCACAAAAGTGTATTTCAATACCTTTTTTAATTCATTATATATCATTTCCCAGAAGGCCTTGATCTTTGGGCACGTCCACCAAAGGTGGAAAAAGGTACCTTCATTTTCTTTACATTTCCAACATTTATTATCGGGCAAATGATATATTTTTGCTAGCTTGACTGGGGTTAAGTACCACCTATAAATCATTTTCATTATATTTTCTCTTAAGGCATTACAAGCCGTAAACTTCATACCTGTGGTCCATAACCGTTCCCAGTCAGCAAACATAATATTATGCCCAACATCTTGTGCCCATTTAATCATAGCAGACTTAACCGTTTCATCCTGTGTATTCCATTTCAGCAGCAGGTTATACATTCTTGACAAATTTTTAGTTTTAGGCTCTAACAATTCCGTTTCCAGTTTAGACTTTTCCTCCTGGAAACCAATCTTTTTATCTAGGTTAAAAACCTCCCTTATTTGATAATAATGAAGCCAATCTCGAACTTTAGTTTTTAATTTGTCAAAACTCTGCAGTTTTAGTTTATCTCCAACTTGTTCTAAAATTTCACAGTATTTTGGCCAATTTGTCTCCATATTAGTTTTTTCAATGCCTTTGCCTCCATTGGTGACAGCCACCTTGGTGTTTTACTTTCCAACAAATCCTTATATCTCACCCAAACATTAAACAATGCTTTCCTGACAATATGATTCTTAAAGGCCTTATGCGCTTTAACCTTGTCATACCATAAATATGCATGCCATCCAAACACATTATCAAAGCCTTCTAGATCCAAAATGTCCACGTTTTCAAGAAGTAGCCAATCTTTCAGCCAGCAAAATGCGGCTGATTCATAGTAAAGTTTAAGATCTGGCAGGGCAAATCCACCTCTTTCCTTCGCATCTGTTAATATCTTAAATTTTATTCTAGGCTTTTTGCCCTGCCAGATAAATTTGGAAATATCTCTTTGCCACCTCTTGAAACAGTCCATTTTATCCACAATTTGCAATGTTTGAAACAAAAACAACATTCTAGGCAATACATTCATCTTTATCGCAGCAATTCGGCCCAACAATGATAACTTCAATTTTGACCATGTTTCTAAATCCTTCTTCACTTCTGACCAACATTTTTCATAATTATCTTTAAACAAATTCACATTTTTAGCAGTCATATTCACCCCTAAATATTTCACTTTGTTAACTATTGTTAATCCTGTCTCTTTCTGAAACCTCTCTTTCTCAATCTCTGTAAGGTTTTTCTCTAATACCTTAGTTTTCGTCTTGTTTAATTTAAAACCTGCTACTTGACCAAATTCTTGGATTAATTGTAATACTCTTTTTGTGCTGGCTTCTGGCTCCTGTAATGTCAAAACTAAATCATCAGCAAAAGCTTTCAATTTGTACTGTTTAGCTCCGAGTTGTATACCTTTAACCAATTGGTCTTTTCTAATCATATTGAGCAAAACCTCCAGGACCGATATAAAAAGCAATGGGGAGATTGGGCAACCCTGTCTTGTTCCTTTCTCTATCTTAAATTCTTCTGTAACTACATTGTTCACAATAAGCTTAGCTTTTTGTTCCGAGTAAATTGCACCTATACCATTTTCAAAACTTTGGCCTACCCCCATCCCCTGCAATTTTTTCTTCATAAAACTCCAAGAAATATTGTCAAACGCTTTCTCTGCATCTACAAATATTAACAAAGCTTTGGTATTGATATTAACTTGCAGTTTTTCTAAAATATTGATAATATTCCTAGTATTATCTGACAGATGTCTCCCAGGGAGAAAGCCCGCCTGATCTTTATGAATCTCTTTTACCAATACATTTTTTAATCTTTTAGCCATAATTTCCGCAAAAAAATTTGTAATCCACATTAAGTAGGGATATGGGACGGTAGTTCTTCAGCTGTGTCTTCTCCACTTCAGTTTTAGGTATAAGTGTGATGTATGCTTCTTTCCACGACTCGGGTGCTTTTCCTCCCCGTAGTATTTCATTGCAAAGTTCTTTCAGCGGTTGCAATAACCATTCTTTCAAAGATTTGTAGTACTTTGCAGTTAGGCCATCCGGTCCTGGAGATTTGCCCAATTTCATATTCTGAATGGCTCCTTCCACCTCTTGATCAGATATTGTAGAGTTTAATATTGATTTACTCTCTTGAGATACTTTTTGTAATCCATTATTTTTCAAAAACCGATCAATGTCTAATTCTTTCTGAGTCTCCTGCGTATATAACTGTTTAAAATAGTTCTGAAAGCACTTCCGAATCTCTCCAGGATTCTGTATGTTCTTCCCTTCTACTACCAAGTTCGTAATCGTATTCAGCTTTTGTCTTTTTTTCATTTGCCAGGCCAGTAATTTCCCACATTTATTTGCCGATTCGAAGGTCTTTTGTTTCATCTGTTTGACCTTCCATTCTATCTCCTGGTTCATCAGTTTCATATATTGTACTTGGTATAGCTTTATCTCTTTTAAAATCTCCTGTGAGTTCGGTTTCGCCCTCAGTCTTTTTCTCCATCCTTAATTTTCTCCAAAAATTTTTCTCTCTTCTCGTTTTGATATCTTTTCCTAATTGCATTTTGTTGTATCAAAAATCCTCTCATCACCGCTTTGCTGGCATCCCAAATCACTCTTTTTTCTGTCGTAGTATTCAGATTTATCTCAAAATAGTCTCTCAAATTCTTCTGGGCCTTTTTAATAATTTCCTCATTCCTAAATAAGGAGTCATTCATCCTCCATCTGAAAGCTCCAATTGGCGTTAATATCATTTCAATCTTTACTGGATTGTGATCAGAGCAAATTTTCGGGCAAATCGCCGCTTTTTTTATCTTAGGGGCCAGTCCTCTAGTTATCCAGATTTGGTCTATTCTTGTCCATGTCATATTTGCTTCAGAGAAGAAGGTTCCTTCTCTTTCCAAGGGGTTCTTTATTCGCCAAATATCCACAAGATCCATATTGTCAGTCATTTCAAAAAATGTCTTTGGTAGTCTTCCATCTTTTGTCACCGTTTGTCTTTGGGCTTTATCCATATTTGTAGACACTACTCCATTCATATCTCCCATCAAAATAATGTTGTAATCCAAATAATCCAGGAGAGTTTCGTGCAATTTTTTAAAGAATTCTGATTTTCCCTCATTTGGTGCATATACACCTATTATCAAAAATTTCTGTCCTTGAAACTGAATTTCAATTGCTATATATCTTCCTTGGTCATCTTTAAATATAAATTTTGGTGACAGGCTTTCCTTCGCATAAAGTACTACCCCTCTTTTTTTCACATTGTCCGATGAAATAAATTCTTCTCCCAATCTTTTATTTATCAAAATTTTCCGATGTAGCCTTGTCACATGGGTCTCTTGTAAACAAATCAAGTCCAAATGTTCTTTTTTCAATGTATGGAATACTCTCCCCCTTTTTGCCGACGAATTTAGACCATTAATGTTCCAGCTTAAAACTTGTAGTGTCATTTTGTAGTTACTCTCCTTCTCCTCCAACAGCCCCAAGAAGTTTGTCTATGTCTGTCGGTGGCGTTGGTTTCACTTTTTTTTGCAGACTCTTATCCGGTATCGCAGTGTCTTTTCCCAATCCTTTCTGTAGATCTTCTTCGTATGCACTCAAAAACTTGTTCTTTTCCTCCACTGATCTTATCTTGGTCTTTCTTCCTTTAAAACTAAAGGATAGACCTTGAGGGAATTCCCACCTGAAAAGGATTTTATTTTTTCTCAACAAGGCCACCAAGTCTCCAAAATCCTGTCTTAAGTCAAGAAGATGTTTTGGTATGTCTTTAAAGATTTCCACTTTTGATTGTATGATTGTCAAGGGTTTTTCGTAATGCAAGCCCAAAATTTTGTCCCTTTCTTCTTTGGATCGGAGGGTAATCAAACAGTCCCTTATTTTAATCTTTCTTCCTCCTTTCCCCAGTCGAAAGGCCCTCACAATCTTAAAGTCCTCTTGTTTCAGGTCCGATTTCCAAAATTCCAGAAATTCTTGTGTCAAAAAGTCTATCAAGGTGCCTTTCTCCAACTCAGGAACAGCTCTAATTCTTAGATTCGTTTGTTTGTCTCTAAGATCAATCATAGACAACGGTAACTTATGTTCTGCAATCTCTTTCTGCAGGTCTGGTACCTTTTCAGTTTCCAATTGCCCCAATTTAAATTCCACAGCAGCAGTCTTTTCCTGTATAGACTTTGAGTCTTGGAGTAATCTCTGAATAGATTCCGTGTTACTGTTTACCTTTTTCTCCAAATTGTCTAATGTTTCTGTGTTTAAATCAATTTTTCTATTAGCAATGTCCACTTTCTGGTTCGTTTCTTCCACTTTCCTATTCGTCTCCCCCACCCTTGTACTAAGTTGCTGTATAGATTCATTAATCTTAGCCAAAGCACTGGCTAAAATTTCCTCAGACATTCCACCAGACTTAGATTGTGTTGCCGATGCAGGCAAACCAGCAGATGATTGCCTTCTATGTACCCAAGGTTTCCCTGATCTCAAGACTGACTGGTCTTTTTGGCCATCAGCCATAACAAAGTGAAGGTCAAGTTCTTTTCCCACGTCTGCTGTTCCTGTTTACAAGTGGAAAATTCCTTTCCTGTAGTTTCAGGGAGTCCCACTAGGTGGACACTGTTGCCACCAAACCAGTTACTGTCCTTCTAAAATAACAGGAAAGAGAAACTAAGTAGAAAGACAAAGATGGAGGACACAATGTAACTTTCCAATTATTTTCCCCAATGAAATTGGCCACAATATATCTTCTTTACAGCCAACAAGCAGCACTGACAGCTTTTGACAGCTGAGACGTCTCACTGACAGATTGCTCTTTAAATCTTTAAATCTTTAAGCAGTCCGGTAGAGTCAAAACACAGCCTTTCCCTTTATCCCTCCGAAAGGTAGATTCCGCCAAAGTTCTCAGGTCAGAAAGAAAACACTTATTTCAGTTCAATTTTCCCACGTTTAGCTCAAAATCTCTATGCTTTATTCCGGATACAATGCGGGGAAGCGGACTTCCTGTTTGCACTTCCACCGCGGTAGCCAATTCAGACGTTTTTTTTGCAGCTAAAACTTTTCCGCTTTTATCCAGATAGTCCAATTAATCCAATTAGTGCTCTTTTAATCCAATTCCTCTACTCACGGTTAAAATTTCAGTCCAAATGTTCCAGGAATAAGTCAGCGCTCTCCAGCAACGGCAACACGGCTTCGCTCAGTGGAAGCAGCGATCCGCTCGCAGCACCGCGCTTCTCCCCCGCTCCGTTCCGAAGCCTCAAAAAAAGGCTTCCTTTCGGGTTGGGGGGCGCTCCAAGGTGCCCGCCGAGCCTCCACGTTCGCAGGCTTCCGCGCCTGCGATTTCTAAGGGTCCCCGCTTCGCCGGAGCGCACAGGACCCGATTTTCCACTGAGCTACCCCCTCCGAGATCAGAGGAGGTCAGCCATTGCTGCTGGCGCTAACCGGAAGTCCTGGAAGATGATAATCAGGTGTCCGCACAACATGACCAGTCCAACGAAGTTGATGTTGAAGAATCATTGCTTTGACACTGGTGATCTTTGCTTCTTCCAGTACGCTGGCCTTAGTTCACCTGTCTTTCCAAATAATATGTAAATTTTTTTTTGAACACACCGTTGATGGAATCTTTCAACTTCTTGAGAAAGTCGCCATGTAGAATATAACACAATAAATACAAAACCATGTAAATGGATCATATTGAGAAACAAAGACACACAATTTATAAAACAACTTCTTCCACCACCTCTTCTTCTTCTTCTTCTTCTTCTTCTTCTTCTTCTTCTTCTCCTCCTCCTCCTCCTCCTCCTCCTCCTTCTCCTTCTCCTTCTCCTTCTTCTTCTTCTGTGATGGGGCTGCTACTGGTCTGCCTAAGCCTGGCAGAAGGAAATCAAGCCTTTATAATAGTGTTTTTCACACTGGGTCACATGACTGAGTTGAATGGGCTTAGGATCCAGCCTAAGTCTCACTTCTCTGTTTCCACCCCTGCCATGTCCCTGGAATGCTCATTTTTTTGGGATTTACAATGCTTCAACACCCCAAAGGCATGCTTTGCAGGGAACTGGCTTCAGGCACCAGGCCCGCTGGCAGACCAAATCCGTGTTGCAAAAATGTCTGTAAACATGACTTGAAGGCTGGCAACACCAACAGGCAGTAAGGTTGTGTTTCTACAGCAGTGACCAGAGGAGGAAGGACTGCTGGGAGGAGATCAGATGGAAGAAACACCATGGTACACTTGAACTGGCACAAGCAGAAGCCTTCATTTGCCCCCGCTGCAATAAAACGGGTCAAAGGGGACGTTATGTACTGAGTTGAATAGGATCCAAAATGCAGCAGTCTGATTGGTCCTAGAACAATAGGATCCAAAATGCAGCAGTCTGATTGGTCCTAGAACAATGCAGCAGTATGATTGGTCCGCAGGAGCCACCCAATCCAGCTCCAGGTGGAAGTGAATCCACAACCTGATTGGCCTACAGGAGAATCCCGGACTTAGCCCATTGTGTAAATAATGTATATAAAGCATATATTGTGGGGGAACTTCCATTCCTCCTCACCACTATGAGCTGAATAAACCCTACTGGTTGGCAGGGTGAAGTGCAGTAGGGAGCCGTTGCTCACCTGGCTTTCCAACATAGAGGCTGCTGCCAGAAACTGAGAGGGGCAAGGCGGCAGGGAGGTTGGCGTTGTCGCACCACACTGATCGCTCCTCCACCTTACATTTACCATTCTCCCCCTTGGTTACCAACAGCACCTTGGGAAGCCAGGTAGACAATAGCACCCCACCCCATTGACCACAACTGTTGAAACCTCTCCAGCCTTCTCTGTGTGCAGAGTCAGCTTGAGGAGGGAGTGCTCTGTGTTTTATTTTTTATATATAAATTTTTATTAGTTTTTTTAACACATCATTTTCAACAGTAATTAAACATACTTTTACATCTTATTCAATTTTTTTGACTTCCATCAGTCCTGCCTGAAAATTTTCCAATCTAATCTCTTAGTATGCATTTCTTATTTTCCCTATTACATTTCAAACTCATAACCAATATCTCTATCTTTTTCTACTTTGTAACACTTTGTATATTTCTCCTTACAAAACTTCTTGTAGTCCTACTAGCGTAATTTGTTGATTACAGTTGCTCTTCAAATAATTCCTATACTTCTTCCAATTTTCTGTAAATCTCTGGTCCCGCAGGTTTCGAATCCTTCCTGTCATTTTGTCCAATTCTGCATAGTCCATTAATTTCATCTGCCATTCTTCTTTCATTGGAATGTCTTCTTGCATCTATTTCTGGGCTAACAATACTGTTGCCGCTGTTGCATATAATAACAGTTTGACATCTTGTCTATTAATGTCTTTGCCTATAATACCAAGTAAAAATGCTTCTGTTTTTTTCATCTCATTACACTGGGCAACAATTTTTTACTTTTTGAATGTTGTCTAGATTTCTACAACTGATTTAGGGTATTTTTGCACTGCTGAATCATGAAATGGCATCCGTTTCTCTCCATCAGGTCAGGTTTTCTGTAAAGTGAATGGTGGGCATTGATAAAGGTAAGTACACGTAAATTGCATGTTGCTTCACCATTTTTCAAACTTCAGGGCTTGAACTTCTGTTTCTTGGAACTCCTGGAATGCTCAGCAGCACGGAGGTCTCTCTTCAGAGTCCAACAGTAGTCAGCCATCAAGACTGCGTCCCAGCGTCCCAGCGACCCTGATACCTGGTCTCCATCTTTTTCATGTCCTGATGGAATCTCTCCCCCTGCTTGTCACTCATTGAACCCAGGTGCTCAGGAAACCGGTCCATATGTGAAAATAGGTAGTGCATCTTGACGCTCATGTTGCAGCCCAGGTTTCTGAAAGCAGTCAGCATGTTGTTGACAAGTTCTGCGTAGTTTCTGGCCTTATTGTTGCCAAGAAAGTTCTTCACTACCAGAACAAATGCCTTCCACGCTTCCAGTTCCACTTCGTTCATTGAGTTTCCGAACTCTGGATCTCTGATGAGCTGACGGATCTGAGGACCATCAAAGATGCCAGCTTTCAACTTCTCCATGGTCAATCCTGGAAAAGCCTGGCACAAGTAAATGAAGCAGTCACCATCCTTGTCCAGAGCCTTGGTGAACTGCTTGATTAAGCCGAGCTTGATGTGCAGCGGTGGGAAGAGTATTCTGTCTCTGTCCACCAGAGGGTCGTTGATGACGTTCCTTTCTTTGCAAGGCACCAATTCCTCCCGCACAGGCCAGTCCTTCTTCGTGTAATGCTGAGCACGGTCCCTACTATCCCACATGCACAGAAAACATGGGTACTTGGTGAAGCCAGACTGTTGTCCCAACAAAAAGTTCACCATCTTCAGGTCAACACAAATAAACCACTTATGCTGATCATAACCAATTTTCTCCAGCACATACTTCACCGCTTCATAGTTCTCCTTCAGTGTACTCGAGTGAGCCAGGGGTATAGAGGCAAACTGGTTGCCGTTGTGTAGCAGAACACATTTCAGTGATCGCTTGCTGCTGTCAATGAACAGTCTCCAATCTTTGGGTTCGTACTGTGGCACTCCAAGCTTGAGCAGAAGCTGTGCAATATCTGCACAGTACACCAAGTCCTTCTCTTCCGAGAAAAAATGGAGGTACTCTTGATGCCTGTTGCGCAAGAAGCTGATGCGAGCACTGTCAGAGAGGAGTTTTTTTCCCTTCAATCTGGATGCCAACAGTTCGGCAGAGTTCTTTGACAAGCTGAGGTCGCGAACTAGATCATTCAACTCCTTTGGGGAAAATGGATGTGGAGCATCATCTTCAAGAACCACTTCTTCTTTCTTCATGTCCTTCAACACTGGAGGCATCTTCGTCACTAATGTCAGGAAGTTCTCCGAAGATAGACACTGGAATTTCATCACAATGAGCTACAGGACGATGTGCTGATTGAAGATCAGGATACTTCATGGGGCGGCTGCCCCATTAACTTAGTTTTGATCCCCCAACTTTATGCTTTGCTGGACCAATTTATGGAAGATTTCGAGGTTTTATGACTTCAAACTGATCCCTTTTCGACATAATCACCCAGAACTATCGGACCTGAATACTTCTTGTCATTAAAATAATCATTTCCAATCAAAACAATTATTTGACAAGGCATTTTACCCCCACCAACTTCTAAAATGCTCCACAGAAGCGTACATGTGAACAAAAACGTAAAAAAAGACATGTGGCCATAGCTCAAAAACTTGACCTGATTGAGCAAAACCAATGTGATTTTTTGATTCAGCGCATCAGATTCATCCTAAATCAGCTGAAAAAACGCAGACAACAAATTTGTTGTTGACCAGTGTTATATATAATTTCCCAGAAGTTCTTTACTTTCTTACATTCCCACCAGATGTGATGAAATGTCCCTTCCTTTTCTTTACATTTCCAACATTTATCATTTGTCTTATACATTTTAGCTAATTTCACTGGTGTAATATACTATCTATAAATCATTTTCATCATATTCTCTTTCAAAGCATTACAGGCTGTAAATTTTATCCTTTGAGTGCTCTGTGTTTTAAACAAACTTTACACAAGAAGAATATAGCATGTATCTCAGTTTCCGTGTTTGGTTTGAGATGTGCATTTTCCCTCCCCAATGAAATTTCACCATTCTTTTGAACATTCTTTTAAATCCCCTTGAATCCCCCCAGAGATGGTTCCTTGTGCTGAAGCTTTGAATTTTCCTTTAGGCCAAACTTTTAGGCCTACTGTGGTGCTGTCATTTCTGTTGCACTCCAGCTTTTGCTCAAGAGTTGGCTGTTGGCATGCTGTTTCCATAGGATTTCACGTTTGCACCAGGCAGAGCATCCCATGGAAAAGTTTGTTTGGCGACGAGCGTCAGGAAGCGGTTTTATCTTGAGCTGTCTCAAAATATTGTGCTGAAAGTCACCGAGAGTAACAAATGCAAACTCCAGATGGCAGATTCAGATCAGTGGCTAAGTGGAGCAATTGCTGAAGGAAGTCTTTGAAACGAAGAGTTGCTGTGTGTTGAGAAAGACACAGATGCTCCAAGAAAACAGTCATTACCTTGATCTTATATTAGTTCCACTTGATTTGCTACCCTCTACCTCCACAACCAGACCAGAAAAAGGTACCAAAAGGCTTAGAGAGTAGTATAGACCGTTGCCATGTGACCAGGCAAAGCAGAGGTTCCCTGGCACTTCTATGACATAGCAGATTTCTGCATTGGCATGGAATTGTACTAAGTGACTTTTGAGGACCTTTCCAGCTCTGTGATTCTAGCTCACAGGTCAGAAAAACTTTTCCACAGGGTGCCAGTCCACTGTCCCTCAGACCTTGTGGGGGGCTGGACTATATTTTGGGGGGAAATCCCCCCTGACTCTCCTATCCCTTCTCCACAGTACTGGACAAGCCCCGGTGGCTGCTTTCCTGTGCCTTGAGAGCGGCAGGGTCTGGCGGCAGTGGCAGAAGGATGATGAGCGCTGCGAAAGGGCTGACTCCAGAGAGCGGCTGCTTAAAATGGCACTCAGCCAACTGCGGCTCAATAAATCCCAACCCCCTACCTCCTCTAGGCAGGGCAGGGAGAAGCCAGGAGGAGGTGCCGCCGCAGTGTGTGTGAGGGAGGGGGAAATGGTGCAGCCCGAACGATCAGAATCCCCACTCCAATCCACACGGCGATTCCCGGACCATCTGTGGGCTGGATCCAGAAGGCAATTGGGCCAGATCTGGCCCCCGGGCCTTAGTTTGCCAACCCATGTTCTAGCTTGTGATCTATTTAGTCCATTTAGTGACAATGTAGAGATTTCTGTTACTCAAAAATTTCTAAACTTACTGTAACATCAGTCTCTCTCTCTCTCTCTCTTAAAGATTTCTTTGTTTACAAAAGTAAGTGCAATGCCTCTTTTTTCAAGTTACATCTTCTACCGATCAGTTTCATTTGTTGAGTCATTAGGGTTATATTAGGAAGAAAAGGGGGAAAGAGGTGGAGGGGGGAATGGTGAGCGGGGCGGGGTCCGGTGGCAATGCTTCTATTCTACTTAGTGCATGTGTGGAGTTTTTTGTCAGCGTCACTTCTGTGGCTTCTCTTTACTATTTGCTTGTATTCCTTTGGTGGTGAGAGAGGTTGGGGTTGGCTAGAACTGGCCCTACTAAATATCACCCAAGACAATAATGCCCACTCACAACACAAAGAGCTCATAACCCATCTACTCTCAGCAGCCAGAAGCATCATAGCCAGGCACCGGAGAGACCTGTCAGGAGTAAACATGGACCAATGGTATCAAAAGGTATGGGAAACAGGCTTATTAGAAAAACTAACCAACAAACTTGAAATATACTCGGAGTCGAGAGTGGATTTCATGCTCTTTATTCAGCTCATAGTGGTGAGGAGGAATGGAAGTTCCCCCACAATATCTGCTTTATATACATTATTTACACAATGGGCTGCATGTGATTGGCTAATTCCGGGATTCTCCTGTAGGCCAATCAGGTTGTGGATTCACTTCCACCTGGAGCTGGATTGGGTGGCTCCTGCGGACCAATCATACTGCTGCATTGTTCTAGGACCAATCAGACTGTTGCATTTTGGATCCTATTGTTCTAGGACCAATCAGATTGCTGCATTTTGGCTCCTATTCAACTCAGTACATAACAAAACTGAAACTGACACGGGGACAAATAGAAGAAGATGTCTTCACCCTGATATGGTTCCCCTTTATCACATACACAGCCCAACAAGACAGCAACAAAAATCCGCCGACAGCATTCAAATCAATCTGGCTAACCTGACCAGTATCTCTTTTTTAAACAGCAGCAACAACAACAACAACACATTTATAAACCACCCTTCATCATAAGATCTCAAGGCAGTTCACAGAATAAGATAAAAAGATAAAAAAGGTAAATAAAAAGGCAAAACAATTACCCACCCCATAAAGTTATGCAAGTTTATGGTGTGGCTGCCTTTGGAGTTTTGTGTCACGTTCTGGTTGCCCTATCTCAAGAAGAACACCTTCCTTCTGAGGAAAGGCAGCCACAAATGAGACTTCTTTTTAGCTTGGAGAAAAGATAACTGAAGGGGAGGCAAGATAAGAGTTTTGCAAAATTATGCAAGGTGTGGGAAAAGTGGATAGAGAGTTGCTTTCCCTCTCTCTCATAATGCCAGAACTCAGGTTCATCCATTGTAACTGATTGACAGTAGATTAAGGAGAGACAAAGTGAAATACTTCTATGTGCAATGCATAATGAATTTATGGAACTTGCTGCCGCTGCAACACGTGGGGCTAGCTGCTAACCAATTCGTGGAGTTTATGGCTGCTAGTTCTGATTTATTTACTTTATTTAAAAAATATATACACTGCTTAATATAAAAAATAGGGTTGCCATATTTCAAAAAGTAAAAACCAGGAAACCACTGAAATTGAAGAGCTTTTTTTTTTTTTTTACAAAAATGCAAATAATAATAATCATCATGATTTTGCAATTGACTTCTAAGATCCAGGACAAAGCACCACCTTTCTGAAATCCCCCCCCCCCCGGACATAATTTCTCCTTTGAAATCCCATTAACATCAAGGAAAAACCAGACTTATGGCAACCCTGAATTATAATATAAAAAGTAACTGTAGCCCAGCAATATTAGCTGACTATCATCATCCCTGACAATTGAGGGCATCTGAAGGCACTATACAGACTACCTCTTCTTAAAGCAGCTTACATTCCCCCCACCATTTTAATATAAATTCATATAAGGATACAATGGCATTCAGATAAAACGTCTTTAAGAGACATATAAAAACAGATTAGACCTACCAACCACAAGCTGAGTGTTGCAAAACAACAACACACCAACTCAACTACATAGAGCTGCTCCGCTTAATAGGAGCAGAGCGTTAAACCATCTTCCAGTGGTGTTGAGTGGTACCATAAGGAGCCGTTGAGGAAGCATGCATGCTTTTGCAGGCATAAACCAGTGATATATTTAGGTTGGTGCAGGCAGTCCCGCCTCCCCACTCTCCCATAGGGTACCAAGTCATGGGGGTGCAAAATTGAGAAGAGCCATAATTGAGAAGATCCACTGGGGCATGTCAAATTTTGGCCTCACATAGGGCGCCATATTACAAAAGATTACCAAAGTCTGCCCCTGCATAAACCGGGTGTTCAGCTAGAGCCTGCTGTAGACCGTGGGGCTGACACTTTTCTGGTGAGGCCAAAGGTGAAAAAGTAGACAGAGTGATAAATATTAAGTTCTCCCTTTGTACTGTAAATTACTTCCTACAGACGTCTCCTCCAGGAAAGCAAGAACCATTGTAAGATGCATTCAAGGACACATTCCGGTCAGGTAGAAATACTTAAAGAAAGTTGTAAGGTAGGGCCGGTGAGGTGGGCAGCTTTGGGAGATGGGGTGTGGCTGGGGAGGCAGTATGGTGTCCTGAGGACCAGCCAGAGGAGCTTGGGCCCCAGACCTGAGGGTTCTCCACCTCTGCTGCAGGCAGGTTGGTGTGAAATGCCTGAAACGTCTCAAACAACCACAAAAGTCCACAATGCTTGCCGATAGGAAGATTCAAAGGATGCCAGAATGTTAGGAAATATTAGGGCCACAATATTCAACTCCAATCCCAGTTTTATTGAATTCCACGAGCAACTGTACACTTGTTATTAGTTGAATGGTGGCTGGCAAGCTCAGCTGCTACAAATACAAGTTTCAGCCTGTGAAGGTGTTTTCCTCGATACTCACCTCATAGTGGTTTCACATTCGCCCACTTCTTAGGGCCACCAAGGGCCTGCAGTTGATGGGGAAGCCTGAAACCAACATATATATTTTATAGGACAGACAGTGGGAATTTAATCTTGCTTTTACAGAGACTTTGAAACAAAGCAAATTCCTTCTTCTGCATCTGTTGGCCACATCTAAGATGTATCCAGAGTCCACAGTGACTATCTCAGTTCCTTTCATCTGGAAGATAAACCTAGAGGAAGAGACAATGGAGGATTTCTGAGTCAGAGTTTCTTGTGCCCTTGTCATATATTTTGCATAAGATATTTCAGGTTACCATATATTTCAGGGATTTGTGGTTATGTAGTGTGCAGTGAGACAGAATTGTTATTGTTATGCAACAGGCTTACGAAGAAATGCAAACGTAAGAGTCCAGAGAGAAGCAACTGGAAGGTTATTTTAGTGACATTTATTTTATTCATCACAATGTGACAAACGATGTCACCAAATGGAGGTTTTCAGGTCACTAAGCTTATGGGCTTTTATTCTAAATGCACTTGCTGTGGCAATCATTGCCGCAACACACTCAATTTGTGCTGTTTATTATTTACTAGCTAAAGGCATCTTGTGTGCCTTTTGGCTGGGCAGGAGAAGGGATGGGGGCCTTGGGCGATCACACCTTGTATATCACTGAAGTTCAAGGAAAGTTTAAGCTTGAACTGTTTTATTGGTTTTGTACTTTTTATGATTTTGGTATGTGTTGTGGTGATACATATTTATTTATGTGAATAGCTAACTGTAGATGTCCCTTGACAGGAGGCTCTTGTAGAATGGAACAATTATCTCATGAAATTCATTTCTCTGGAGAGGACAATTGAATTGAAATGACATTAAAGTAGGCTGAGAATTCTGAATTAGTACACAGTGTTCATTCTTTGCAGACATCTTTCCTTTTATTACACATCCATTCAGGCTCTTCTATTTTTCTGTGCACAAAAAAAGGATGGGCGCTTTCAACTTTCGACTTTTATTTTCCCAAGCAGATTTAAAGTGATGGCCCTCCATATGTGAAATTCAAATGTGGTTGAAGCATGACAGTTTAGGAAGCATGGAATCAGTTTTATGTTGCCAATTCAAAGTCTGTTCCAAAGCATTATGCCCCCTCTCAGGAAAGTACAGTGCAACAAACATACTGCAAATTGCTTTCTTTTGCAAATGAGGACCTACTGAATTCAGGGAGTTTCTCAATGGATCATTGTTAACAGCTGAAATAAGGAGGCTCAAGAAGGCAATGTCGAATAGTCCAAAATATAAATGTAAGTATGCCCATTATGGTAAATGTTATATTATCCACTCTGAGGCTCACACATCACCACTTCCTCTGACTCCAGTGTGCTCTCACCACGGGCATTGAAGCAGTGTACACATGCTGATAGCCACAGTCTATATCTATCTTGTAATTTCTTGAGGAAAAACTCCTGCTGGATGTGTTTTCCCTTAAATCAGCATTCATCCAAAGTATAAGCCACGTTCACTTCACAGTTAAAGTTAGGTGTGTATGTTTGAGACAGCCATTGTGCATGGGCAGATAACAACTTCATGGATAGGAGTTTGGGGAGCTTGCAAGCACTGTTCTGCCCCCTCTCTCTTGTGTACAGTAATCTGCAAATGTGATTTGAAAAAGCCTCTCCTCCCCCAGGAGGGGAGGGGTTGTGAGCAGGAGACGATTACCATGTCATGCAGGGGGCGTTCGCCCCCTGCTTCAACTCCAGGGCTGGCACACCACGCCCCTCCCTGGTTGGGCATCCAGTAGGGATGCTTGACGGGAGCGTGGCTTGCCACTCAAATGTGGCCGCACCAGCCATCCCCACCATTGCACACACATTTTCTTCGAGTCACCCACCCTCCACTCCCTTTTAGAGTTAGCTTCCTGAGACTTTGCTATGGACCTCTGGTTGGTCGCCCTGTTTAACCAAGGGGCCTGGTAGGAGTTGTTTCCAATTGGCTAAATTGGCCTGGCCTCTTAGTTTTTTTTTGCCTACCTCGTAGCAACCGTCACAACTTTCGTGGTATTTGGCGGTTAGGCATTGAAATGTGTTGTTGGTGTTTCGGGGGGCTAGGTGTGGCCATCGCCTACCCCGACAATTTTGGGTATTCCGCTAAAGGAATCCGGCGGTCGTGGATCCTGTCCGATGCCCGAGTGGCGGGGGGCCATGGCACAACCCTCGGTGACATCAGGAAGAGAGCCTATAGTTGTATTAGCATCAACAGGCTCCCCCTGCTGGTGGTTAACCCCTCCTCAGACTCACCCCTCTACGAGTGGGTGGAGTCTAAAGTTCCGTGGTCCAATGCCTAAGCCAATACCTTCTCACATGCTGTAATCAATAAAGTTGTGGCCTTTTCCTTACCCATTAACCTTACATACTGTGTCCTCGTGTCTTTATTCCCCAAGCAGGGATCGGGTCCTCGAATCACAAGCAGAGGAAAAGGGGACAAATACATACTTGGAGCCCATTTCTTAGGGATGGGTGGTATAGTTTGAGAAGTTTACAAAATCTTATTGGGGAATTAGGGGTCTCAACCCTGTGTTAGATGGTAGCCTTCCTGGATTCCTACTGTCTATGTTGCTTCAGTAGCATCTGAACATCATTCAAATAATTGTCTCTGATTTAATTATATTGAAGCCAAAGAGACCATTTGGAATATGTGGTCTGAAGATTCAGTTTTAAGAGATCAACACTTTTATTGAGATAACATTTGATGATTACCAATATTCCCTGGACTAAAATATTCAAAGCGTTTAGACTGCTGAGGGGTTTCAGCAATATAATTGTGCCAAGGACTACAGTCAAGGTAATAATTATTGTTGTGTGAAAATAATCTAGACTAGAAAAGTTTAAAAATATGAGAAATCTGTAAAGCTGTGGGCTCAAGAAACACAGTATTCAGTTCCAGTAGACAGTTGTTTTTGTCTGATAAAATAATAAAGGAGAAAAGTCTGGAAACAGCTATTGACAGCAGAAGCATAAAACACACAGAGATCCCCCCCCCCCGAAATATACCAAACCATAGAAATGGAACTGAGGGTTGTATCCAGTCCTAATGACCAATAGATATTATTGAACTCAAGGCAATCATTTTCTTTTACTGCGGTGAGTCTTCTAGTACTAGGATCCAATCCTGAATTTTAAATCACCTTGTTAAATTTGAAGTGAGATAGTGTTTGAATTTGAGTGAAAGGTGTGCCTTACAGAATATCACTTTGTATCAAAGTGGCCTACAACTCTAAAAGCTGCCAGAGGGAACTGAAGATGAGTTGGCGAAGGCCAAGAAGCAGCAGCATTTTGGTTAAAAAGACTGTTCTATGTGGCCTTAAATCACATCATGGTTAGTGATTAGGAAGATGTAAATGAAGCTCAGTGACATCAACAGGAGAGGCACATTGTTCCTCTGCAATATTAAGAGCAGGGTTAGGGAACTTTTCTCTTTACTTCTCATAGGCCAAATTTGACAGGTGGGTGGGCTCTGTGTAAGGAGCAAAGAGATTTCAAATAGCCCTGCAAATGAAGCTAGTCTTGGTGGAGCTTTGCATCGGAACAGCTCCTTCCAGCTCTGTATCTCCACAGACTTTTTTTTATGGACAAAGGTCCGTATAGCTAAAGCTATGGTTTTCCCAGTAGTGATGTATGGAAGTGAGAGCTGGACCATAAAGAAGGCTGATCGCTGAACAATTGATGCTTTTGAATTATGGTGCTGGAGGAGACTCTTGAGAGTCCCATGGACTGCAAGAAGATCAAACCTATCCATTCTGAAGGAAATCAGCCCTGAGTGCTCACTGGAAGGACAGATCCTGAAGATGAGGCTCCAATACTTTGGCCACCTCATGAGAAGAGAAGACTCCCTGGAAAAGACCCTGATGCTGGGAAAGATTGAGGGCACCAGGAGAAGGGGATGACAGAGGACGAGATGGTTGGACAGTGTTCTTGAAGCTACGAACATGAGTTTGACCAAGCTGTGGGAGGCAGTGGAAGACAGGAATGCCTGGCATGCTCTGGTCCATGGGGTCATGAAGAGTCGGACACGACTAAACAACTAAACAACAACAACAACTGCATATTCAAGTTCTCCCTGTAAGTCAACTGCACACAGCAATAGCACAATATCAGTTGTATCCAGTGATCTGCATTATGCCTTGGGACAGATCTTTACTGCTACCCAGTGCATGCACACGTGGAATCTAGTTGCAAAATGAGTGGGGAATGGCTTTTCCCTCTCAGAGCATCCTCCTTTTTGGAGCTGTGAATTAATTTCCTTTCACATTAGATTGCCATGTCTATTGGAGGACTTCCGTGTTCCCCTATGGAATAGGGCATGCCTGTATTCTCTTTCACCACCTGGCTTTTCCTTCCTCTAGAGGTATATCTGACAAGTGTGTCTGTGTTTTGTGGAATACCAAAATATATGTTTTGTAAATCCCAACAGGGGCCTGGAATTTGGGATGATTTAAATGTTATAAACCTGACATGAAGCTTCACAAAAGCCCCTCGCTGTAATGGGGCTCCATGCTTCAGACATAATATTATAATGCTTTTTTACTTTACAGTCAAGTACAAGCTCTGAAGGTACTTCTTTTGAACTCATTAAAGGCAGAAGAAACTCTTCAGCCAAATACTAACTTCAGGGCCAGCCTACAACTAGGATTAGTTTAGAATTATAGTTTGTTCCTATGTTACATTTAACAGCCAGCATTTAGCTGGTGTTCAATTTAAAATGATACAAGGACTCCAGATTGCGCTGTCTGCTGATCAAAGAAACTCGCCTATCCACAGGTATGCCAGAAATTTATGTGCTACAAATTAATAGCATACATTTATAGGGGTGATTGTTCCATTTACATCTTGAAATGCGGAAGCAGAACTATTTGGGGGAAAAGTTCTGCTGCAGCTGCACATTTGCAGTTTGGAGAAGTTTTTATATTATTAGATCTGACATACTGTAGACATTGCAAATCTTCCTGTCTGAGGTATTACTATGTATTTATTACATTTTCAATCCAATCCTGATTCCATAGACGCTGCAACCTTTGAATCCCGTGCTGCCAGGAGACACACGAGTTCATAGTCTGAATTCCTAATACAGAACATAAGAGCCCTTCCAGATCAGACCAACAAGAGGTCCATAAGCAAGACAGAAGCACAATAGTTCTCTCTCACTCACGCATGATCTCCTGAAGCTGGTATATTCAGGGACATGCAGTCTTTGATAATGGAGGCAATACATACTAGTCCTCATGACTGCTAACCACTGATAGCCTTATCCTCTGTGATAAGCCACCCATGTAGGTGTCCATCACTACATACTGGGGCAGTGAGTTCCATTGTTTAACTATCTGCTGAGTGAAGAACTTCTTATTTGTCTGCCCTGAATCTCCCAAATCAGTATCCAACTCCCAGTGCGGAGGAGCTATACCAATGGCCTGCCAGCCGTGGTGGGTGTGTCCAACCTAGAAGTTCGAAAGCATGCCAGTGCATGTAGATAAATAGGTACCACTGTGGTGGGAAGGTAAACGGCGTTTCCGCGTGCTCTGGTTTCCATCACGGTGTTCCGTTGTGCCAGAAGCGATTTCGTCATGCTGGCCACATAACCCGGAAAGCTGTATGTGGACAAACGCCAGCTCCCTCAGCCTGAAAGTGAGATGAGTGCCGCAACCCCATTGTCACCTTTGACTGGACTTAACCGTCCAGGGGTCCTTTATCTTTTACTTTACACTTGGAATACTGCATACAGTTCGAATCTCTGCATCTCGAAAAGAATACTGTAAAAACAATCTTTTCCAAAGTGGGAAATACCGCCCCCTTGGGGGTGGTGGAACAATCTGGGGGTGGGGCCTCAGGTGCAATGGGGGCCATTGAATAAAAATAAGGGGGCGATGGGAGCATAAAGAGAAGGAAATTTTGAAAAACTGTTCATGCATGTTTCATCTATTGTGTAATGATGCTTACTGCGACAACACGCCCCACCCATAGACCCGGCATTTGGGATTGGGGTGGCTTCTGTCAATTCCTGCTGTTCCGATTAAAACCGGACACTTAAGGGGTCTGCTTAACCCCCCTTAACCTCTCCCCCCAGCAAATCATCACACTACCTTGAAAACCGCTGTTGGAATGTAGTTTTTTTTCACCAAAGTATTTTATGGCATGGTGTGTTGCTCCCAGAGAGAGAAGGCCGCTCAAATCCCACCAGGCACTGGTGAGCCCCCGCAATGCCTTAAAGTGGTGCTTTGGATCTCAGCCATTGTTCAGCACAAAAGCACTGCAAGAAAACACGGGTAGCTCCCGGTACAGATGTGTCCTTAATCAAGCTAAGTACCAAGCTGTTAAGTACCTAATATGTATACTCAATTATTCATTTTAGTATATGCAGTGTATTAAATCAGGCCTATTTTTCATCACGGTGGTCCCCTGACAATATTTAGCAGACAGTAATGGAAACATCGTCAGAAACTAGCACATAATTGTTCCCTGACTGGGACTACTGTTCCAAAATCAGATAACTTGATTTTGATTTGGGCTGCCATTCGATGCACACTTTACTTAGAAGCAGTGATTTTTTCTGGGGGGACGCAGAGGTACGCATACCCCTAAACATTTTGTGAATCTAAGTGTGGCCTTATTGAGGGAGTAGGAAAATGAGAGTACCCCTAAACATCTTTTTCTTTTCTTTTAAAAAAAGCACTGCTTAGAAGGAAGTTCCATTGAAGTCCTCATGGCGTCCTTTGAGTAAACATGCACAGAGTTGCAGTATGTTTTTTCTTAGTTCTTTTTAAGAAAGACAAACCTAAAACAAAAATGTTGTTGTTGTCATCATTAATTAGTTGCTACTGTATTAGGGTTCAGTCCAGCTTGTTCCTTGTTAGAGCAGCTTCAGAGCTCTTTTTGTTCCCAAGAGCACAGCCTGAATCTTTTTTTGCTTTGCCTTGTCTTACCCCTTGGTTGGGCCTTGCCTTGCTGCACTACAGAGTAGAACTGTTGACACAGATGCTGTACTTTTTGCAAATCCCTGATAAGTAACACCTGGCAGGGAGAGGTTTCTGTTTGAAACCCAATGGAACAGCGAGTGGTGCTGTGGCTTGCCGACCAGAAGGTCAGTGGTTCGAATCCCTGTGACAGCGTGAGCTCCTGTTGCTCTGTCCCAGCTCTTGCCAACCTAGCAGTTTGAAAGCATGCCAGTGCAAGTAGATAAATAGGTACCACTGCAGCGGGAAGGTAAATGGCATATCCATGTGCTCTGGTTTCTGTCACGGTGTTCTGTTGCGCCAGAAGTGGTTTAGTTATGCTGGCCACGTGACTCGGAAAGCTGTCTGTGGACAAACACCGGCTCCCTCGGTCTGAAAGCGAGATGAGCACCACAACCCCATAGTCACCTTTGAGTGGACTTAACCGTCCAGGGGTCCTTTACCTTTTACCTTATTCAATATAGAAAATACTGAGGTAGATAAATCAATGAACTGAGTGGGCACGATAGCTTCATGAGATAGGGAACTCCTAATTCAAAAGCATATTTTTCAAGAAACAGTTTGTCCCTCTCTTCTTGCTTTTGGTAAAAAACACAAATAAGTGCAACAAACAGTAAAGGGTTGTGTGTTAAGGGAGAATAACACTGCACTATTCATTAATAGCTTAGTTCCAGAGAAGTAGCAGTATTGGCTTGTGTAGCAAAGCCAGTGAGAAAACATACACAGTCCAGCAGTAGTCCTACTCCAAGTGTTAAATTAGTATAATAAAAAAGATAATATCACGTAAGAGTCTTGCATACTGCTCAACCATCCTGATTTAAGTGGGACATACTGAAATTACAGAAGCCATCTCAGCTTCTGATTGGATCCCAGAATGTCCCGTTTTTTGGTTCGGCACTCTGGTGTGAGTCTTCTGGCTCTGGTGGGAGCTTGGGACAAAAAAAAAGAATCTTGCTGATTTGGATTACCCAGATATTGGAGTATATAGTCCTGCTGGATCAAGCCAGTGAATGGCCCAATTAATCCAGCATCCTTTTCTTGCAGTGGCCGACAAGGTGCCTTTGCAAGTAGGGCCTGAGTGCAAAATCTCTCTCTCCTCCACTGTAGCTGTACTAAAACACTGGATCTTGCATTCATTTGTGTTGTGCAGAGAAATGCAACATGTTTACCATTACCTATTGTGTCGTCTTACTTTTGGTTGGCCCCAATATGTAAAAATCATCCCACCTAACCACTACATGTTTATAGCCATCTCTCCTGGAAGAGATTGTCATGGATGCCAGTCCATTGAGTTATTCCTGTTGTAGACTCAACAGAAACAAGTGTCGGGGGAGGGTACTTAACAGTAAAACATTTCCATCCTATTGATTTTGTCCTATTGCCGTTTAACTCTCCTGTTGAATCTCTGTGGGATTTAAAAGGGCTTCAATTTGGCTACATCATGCTCTTCACCATTAATTAGTGTACGGCTTTAATAGTCTTAAAAATTCTCAGTTTTAATGCGAACAAAGAGCAGCAGGGTTTTTTCCCCACTGTTAAAAAACTGCATTCCTTTATTTTGGCGAGGGCTGAAGAGTGTAGATACATTTAATTCAACTGAATTAGTATGATGGATTTTGTATTTCTTTGCCAATATTTCTTGTCTTTATCAGTGGTGGCTCACATCCCTTGCTAATCCATTATTTCGGTCTCTTGTGAATTATTTTCTCTGCATTATCTGAGCCCTAACCATATGAAGCAAACCAATGAAATTATTATTAGGCATGAAAATATCTAAAGAGAGAAACCAGAGGGCTTTGCCAGCCTTTGTGCAATTCAGTATAAGATGTTATTTTATTAGAAGTCTCCCTGAAACCAAAGAACCAGACATTTGCCTGCAATAAATTTACTCAGGGTCAGTTTATACTATCAGCAGAATCAAGTAATAAAGAAAGCACTCTGCAGACAGAGCAGTTTGTGAAGTGAACACACTGTCCACTACGGAATAGGATGGAGTGCCCAGAGGCTGGGGATGCAGGGAAGAGGGAAGATCAGCTTGCTGTTTCCTTGCTACATTGAGAGGCTACAGTAGTGGTTGGGGTGCAAGTCCCAATCAGGGGCATACGAAGGGGGGGCAGAGGGGGCGGTCTGCCCCAGGCACCACTTGACGGAGTGACAAGATGGCCTGCTGCCCCCCAGCTGTAGAGCGGCCAAGGCCACGTGCACAGTTAGTATGGGTGACGCTCGCGTGGCGTCTGTACGCGCTGCTGCTCTCATGTGCCGTCCGTATGGGTGTCCGTACGGGCTGCTTCTTGTACAGTGACTGTACGGGCTGCCATGCATGCGCAGTTCATATGGTCTGCCGTGCGTGCGCAGTCTGTACAGGCTGCCACTTGCACGCGCCATCCATATGGGCATCCGTACAGGCTGCCCCTCGCACGGAGACTGTATGGGCCACCACACGTGCACAGTCCATACGGATGTTGCGTGTGCGCCGCTAGGTTTTTCGCCCTGCCCCTTGGCGTCCTGCCCCGGGTGCCGGAGAGGGTTCCTCCGCCACTGCTCCCAACGCCATGCAAGTGCAGAATTGCAGGATGAGGGCTTTTTGCAGTGCAGCTTGTTGATGTCACCAAGACAATACCCATTCAGCGCAGACCCTCCAAGTATCGCTGTTTTCCAGGGACAGTCCCAAATTTACAGAAGCCGTCTGTCAGGAGTCCAGGTTCCCAGCTTGATAACACAGTAAGCGTAGGTAATTAAAAAGGAGGATTTATTGGAAAAACGAACAGATAGCTCTGGATGGCTCTAACAAAGCCTCTGGCATCATTACTCAGGATGACCCTTCTGAAGACTTCTTCAAGATATTCTTCTACAGAATATATTGAACTGTCACCCCTTGCGTCTCTTGTTTTGCTTCCTATCTAGCAGCCTTCCCATTCTCCTACTCTTCAGACTTATTGGATTAGCTCCAGCCCCTTCCTATTCTGACATACTTCTGTGTGTTTTTTCGCTCCTGTTTGAGCATCCTGTGAGCTTTGGCTGTGTTCTAGCCTGCTCTCAGCTACTGCCTTATCATCCTGCCCATCAAGGTCAGAAAGAGCCGAAGTCTGCAGCTGCCAGCTCCCCCCTGCCTAACGTCTAAGCCTCTCTGTTCCTGGCTGCTTCCTGCAGTTGGCTGCAAACCTTCACTGGGAGCTGGCTCATTCCTAACACCTGGTTTCTGATGTGATCCTGGAATGTCTCACTTTTCCTTAGGATGCCCCTATTTTCATCAGAGATATGATGGAGGGTATGGTAGGATTTCCCTATTTTATGCAGAGAAATTTTGGAGGGTGTCAGAGACAAGACGCAGCTGACAGAGGCTGAGAAACGCTGAGAGGCAAGGAGAAGAGATTAGGCTGGAATGCGGAATGGGGGAGGAGCAGCCAAGCTGCAGTAGAAACCTGATCTCTGAGAACAAAGAGCAGGAAGGGGGGAGTCCAAGGGGCAAAACACAAACTGTCAGTTCAAGCTCAGGCTCAGACTCAGGGACACTGGAAATAGCCTCTCCAAAACCGCATAGGCTTGAAAGAGTTTGTGAGAGGCAGGAAAGTGAAAGAAAGCGAAAGTGGGGGCTTTATTGCTGGAGGAGGAAGAGGTGGAGCTCAGACTTGGCAACAGCAAACTTGGGGGAAGACGCTGAGTGAGTGAGCTCCAAAATGATTTGCGTGTTTGAGCAATAAATCTCAGATAATTACCGCCAGAGTTGTCTCGCGTCTGTGGGAGAGACCCAAGCCATTACAGAGGGTATGGTAGGATGTCCCTATTTTCATCAGAGAAACATTGGAGAGTATGGTAGGACATCCCTATTTTCATCGGAGAAATGTTGGAGGGTATGGTAAAAGGTAAAGGGTAAAGGGACCCCTGACCGTTAGGTCCAGTCGCGGCAGACTCTGGGGTTGCAGTGCTCATCTCGCTTTACTGGCCGAGGGAGCTGGCGTACAGGTAGGATGTCCCTATTTTCATTGGAGAAATGCTGGAGGGGACATCTCTATTTTCATCGGAGAAATGTTGGTGGTTATGGTGGGATGTCCATATGGAGGTATGCAGCTAAACACCTGCATTTCCACCCAAAACACTGCAGCCTTTCTCTGCTTCTATGCAGTGTTGGCTTATATTTTCCTTAGTGAATCACCTCAGTGGCTGGCACTGCCTGACCTGTACCTCTTCAGAATCTGAATGCTCCCCCAACTAAAGGGCTACCTGCACCTAGCATGTGAGGGAGAAGACTAGGCTGACCTTTCTCCCTGACATTCCAGTTCCATATGAGCAAGGTAGTGTTTGGGAAGAGCATTGAGGCATGTGATCCCTTGCTTTCAGTCTATTGTGGTATGTGATCCAGGAGAAATTTCATCACTTCATTCTGTTGAATGTATAAACTGGTCCTCAGTTTCACAGGGAGAAGGAAGATTGAGCTCTAAATAATCAATAACTGCATCCCTGTGAAGGCATGAAGAATAATTTAATTATACAGTTGGGGGGGGGAGTGTGACCTGCCATTTATGCAACAGCTGAGCTCTGTTTTCCAAGTTATGCAAACAGTTTCTGGTAAAATCTTGGGGGACTTATTATTTGGTGAGTAAATTGAGGGAACAGCTGGCTATAATTGCTAAGACGTATGGTCCAAACACAATTAAAGGTATGTTATTTTGCAGTTCCACACAACAAACACACAGCTTCTTTGGATAGTCCATTTCCTGGATGAAAGGGGATTATTCTTTATTTGCAGAGGGACACATAGTAGTTTTGCCCTGGGAAATTCTTTTCAAACTAACATTTGTGTTCCTGGTTTGCATTAGTGGCAATGGAGGTAGTGAGATAATGGAAGGAATATATGAAATAATAGCAATTATTGGTAAAACTTAAGGGATTCCTCTCAGAGGACTATGCGTCTGCCACCCAGTTAAGACATATCACTGTGGAGCCAGTCTTTGATGTCACAATGCTGTAATTCCAATAGATAATACCAAGGAATAGTTCCTTAGCAGAACCAGAAGAATTGCTGCCCACATTATGGGAGTTATAGGAGACATTGGACTGGCTCTGTATTAAAGAATCTCATTTTATGGCAAGTTGTTAAAGAGTTCTTTAAATGGAGTGTCAGCATTTTGCAGCCTAGTGCCCTTCAGCTGTTTGGGGCCACAACTCTCATTAACCCCTGACAAGGGGACATGGTGTCTGGGGTTTCTGGGCATTGTAAGTAGAAAGCATCTGGAGACCACCAGGTTGGGAAAAATTGCCTTATGCCCTCTGCGTCAGGAAAGAGCCTTAGCTCGTTTATGAGCACAATTCAAAGTGTTGGTGCTGACCTTTAAAGCCCTAAACGGCCTCAGTCCAGTATATCCGAAGGAGTGTCTCCACCCCCATCGTTCTACCCGGACACTGAGGTCCAGCGCCGAAGGCCTTCGGGCGGTTCCCTCACTGCGATAAGCCAAGTTACAGGGAACCAGGCAGAGGGCCTTCTCAGTAGTGGCGCCCTCCCTGTGGAACGCCCTCCCACCAGATGTCAAAGAGAACAACAACTACCAGACTTTTAGAAGACATCTGAAGGCAGCCCTCTTTAGGGAAGCTTTTAATGTTTGATGCATTACTGTATTCTAATATTTTGTTGGAAGCTGCTCAGAGTGACTGGGAAAGCCCAGCCAGATGGGCGGGGTATAAATAAATAAATAAATAAATAAATAAATAAATAAATAATATTAATAATAATTACTGTAGCTTAATAACAGAGCACATGCCTTTGTATATGAGAGGACCCAAGTCCATTTCATGGCTCTTCTGTAGTTTCCCAGCCTTTCACTAAGCCAGAGATGTGCTGTGTGATGAGCTTAGGGTCCAATTCTGATGAAAGAAGGACACAATTTCGTATGACATGATCTATCACATGGGTAGGCAAACTAAGGCCTGTGGGCTGGATCCGGCCCACTTACCTTCTCAGTCCGGCCCACGGACAGTCCAGGAATAAGTGTGTTTTTACATGAGTAGAATGTGTCCTTTTATTTAAAATGCATTTCTGGGTTATTTGTGGGGTATAGGAATTCATTCATTTCCCCCCCCCCCCACAAAAAAATATAGTCCAGTCCCCCACAAGGTCTGAGGGACAGTGGACTGACCCGCTGCTGAAAAAATTTGCTGACCCATGATCTATCAGCTCAATCACATACAGTGCCTTTGCTTTTTTAAAAAAAGGAGGGGAGTACTCAATATGAGCCCAAATCATTTTGGTAACATTTCTGGGCCCTAAAGCACATATTGGAGAACTTGCATAGTGCTGGTATCTATTTTTTTATAATTACTATTTCACATATTTCACGTCTTCCCTGCCTTTATAGTGGTACCTCGGGTTAAGTACTTAATTCGTTCCGGAGGTCCGTTCTTAACCTGAAGCACCACTTTAGCCAATGGGGCCTCCCGCTGCCGCCGCGCCACCACTGCACGATTTCTGTTCTCATCCTGAAGCAAAGTTCTTAACCCGAGATACTATTTCTGGGTTAGCGGAGTCTGTAACCTGAAGCGTATGTAACCTGAAGCGTCTGTAACCCGATACTGTATTTCAGTATTTTCAGTATTTGCCTTTATTATAGAGTACATAGATGCATAACAATCAAATAAGTAAAGGAATGGCAAACCTTGTTTAGATTCAGAGTAAGCTTTTCAATTATTGTTCTTACCTTTGAAGGAGAACCAACAGACATACGCTACTTGTGTCCTCATTTCAAGATCATGTTGAAGACTGAAAGATTGCATAGCTTAAAAAGACTCTGTTTTTCTCAATAGAGCACATAGGGAAAGGCTATGGAAAGAGAAAAATGATCATGGAAATGTAAAAGCGACAACACAGAGCAGTTACAAAACAGAGTAACAGGGCAAGGAGCTCTAATGTAAAAGGAAGAGAATTTTAAAGCAGCTATTTCAGGGATGAATGGAATTTCATAGCAAGTACGCTGGTTGGTACCAAGCCACAAAATGTGCTGGAGATAACTGCTAGCATCAACAGCTTTTACAAAGATTAGGGCCAAAACAAGATGTGGTAATGGAGGTGTATAAAACAGATGACTATTTGAAAGAAAATCAAATTGCAATGGAGTGCCCTGGGCTCCTTTCATAGGAAGAGTGGGATGTAAACTGAAAAAAATATGAAGTCTTGTGTCACTACTAAATAGCAATAAATTTAATAACAATTATTATTATTATTATTATTATTATTATTATTATTATTTAGAAACATCTATGGAGCATAGCTCTATCAGTGATTATAATAAGCCACAATACTGTAGCTAAAGGGAGTGTCTATGTTTATAGGCATCAAATACCAGCTGCTGGAATCAAGCCTTCATGCATTGATTGTAAGCTTCCCAGAGGATCTGGCTGGCATCTGGTAGAAACAGAATGCTGGAGAAGATGGGTCTTTTATCTGATCTAACAGCCAACTTATTTATTTATGTTTATTATTAGATTTGTACCCCACCAGGGGCAGCCCATCTCATTTTGCCACTGGAGACAAAACAGGGACGTTCCCCGCTTCTTCTGCTACCTCCAAAATCCCTCCCCTACTCTGCAAGGCATTCCCCGCCCCCCATGCACCAGAATGCCCCCTTCTTGCTGGCATTGCAGCAGCTGAACAAAATAACACAACACGATGGCCAATAACAATGGCACTAAACACTATTTATAGACTAATACAAATGATCAGAAATTGCAAGCAAAGTCTCTAAATCTTCTTCACTGGCTGCGGTAGAATAATTCAAAAGTTTGATATATACATAATCTGTCACCAAATATCGCCGGAATAACCGCTCCCCACATTAAAGGGGGCACCCTTTGCGTGGTCGCGCGCAGCCCCCTGGACCCTATGTGGCACCATTAGCACAGGCTTGGCTTCGCCTTCCTCAGGTGGGATACCTGGAGGTCTCCGCCTACCTCAGCCAGTTGCCCAATCCCACCTGGGGAGGCGTTGCCAAGGTGATCAGGCCAGGTAGGGGGAGGGACCACCCTGCCCACACAATAGGGGGAGGGTCTCACCTGGGAATGGTCAGTTGGCTCCAGAGCTTCTCCCACCCTACCCACCCTCAGTTAAGACTTCCTTTGCAGGTTAACCTTTTCTCTACAGGTACGCAGGTGCTGCTATGTCAGGGTCGCTGTTGAAGGGCTGGAAAGGAATTCCCCTGCATTGACAGGTTTACCTTTCCTGTAGCAAAACGTCACAACTTTGGCGGTATCAGACCTTGTGCAGAATCCTTTAGTCTATCTTCTCTAAGTGGGGTTTGGCATGTAGAGGTGACCCACGCCCCCCTTCTCTTTGCGGCGGTGATAGGTTCCTCATTAAAGGGGTTGTTTTGAGGGGAGGCTTTGGCAGCACACCTAGAGGTTGTCATTGCTCTCCCCTGCGATGGCGGCGTAACGGCGGCGGGCTCTATCTGCTTGAACATATGTTCTCCAGAGACAGCCCATCCCTCCCCACACTCTGGATAACCCTGATGTTCCCCAGATCCCCGGCGGGGGACTGGGAGGGATAAACGCCCAATGCCTGAGTCAAGGTCTACCCACATCTGAAACATAATAAAGTTGTGGCCAATTTTAATCCCATAACACGTTGTCTTGAGTCGTTATTCCACACGGGGGCCGCCCAGGGTTTGGGGGACTCCGCCTGTCCACGCAACAGAGTTTCTGGATAACCAATCTCTTTCATTCAATGCTTCATCAGCCAATCTTGATCAATTCTTCAGCAGCAGCAACGATGGGGCAGGTGGAACCTCTTGTGCTTCCATTGCCTGAGGCAGGTGCTTCACCACACCTCATCAATGGGCCAGCTCAGCACCCTACCATTCTTCCAACGAGCTCAAAATGGCATACATGGTTCTTTCCCCCACAACCCCATTTTATGCTGTAAGGTAGGTAGGTTAAGCTGGGAGTCAGTGACTGGTCTGACTTCACCCTGTGAGCATGGTGGGGGGACTTGAACCCTGGTCTCCCAAGTCCTAGCCCAACACTCTAACCCAGCCTTTCTCAACCTGTGGGTCCCCAGATGTTGTTGAACTACAACTCCCATCACTGCTAGCTAGCAAGGCCAGAGCTCAGGGATGATGGGAGTTGTAGTCCAACAACATCTGGGGACCCACAGGTTGAGAACCGCTGCAACCGCTACACTGCATTGGCTCTTCAATTCTTATGGGAGAATTAGATCAATTAAAAAGTCAAGAGAGTGCACCTGCAAGAAATTCTTGTGACGAAAAGGGCTACACTGGGGCAACAACTCACAATTCGCAGAGGGAGGCTGAGCTACATTTGCAGGTTGTGTCCTATTTGATTGCGTCATGAATCAACAAAGTCTGGGATACGTGGAGCTACAGTCAGAGTACCCACAAACAATGCTGGATTTATATATAAGCTAAACAAACTATAGCTTAGGGCCTTACTCTCTTGGGGGACCCCAAAAATGTAAAGGAAAAAAACAAGTGATGTACATTTCATACACACACACACACACATATATGGGACGCGGGTGGCACTGTGGGTTAAACCACAGAGTCTAGGACTTGCTGATCAGAAGGTTGGTGGTTTGAATCCCCATGACAGGGTGAGCTCCCATTGTTCGGTCCCTGCTCCTGCCAACCTAGCAGTTCGAAAGCACGTCAGACTGCAAGTAGATAAATAGGTACCACTCCGGCGGAAAGGTAAACGGCGTTTCCGTGCGCTGCTCTGGTTCGCCAGAAGCGGCTTAGTCATGCTGCCCACATGACCCGGAAGCTGTACGCCGGCTCCATCAGCCAATAAAGCGAGATGAACGGCGCAACCCAGAGTCGGTCACAACTGGACCTAATGGTCAGGGGTCCCTTTACCTTTACCTTTATATATATAAAACAAACCTACATACCTATTAGGTCCATAAATTACCATATATCATATATTCAACACAAAAAACAGCGACAATTTGTTGTTGATAAAGGACAGCTGGACGTATAAAGGGCCCCAATAGCTTCAGTAGCTTAGGGCCTCGTCAAACCTAAATCCAGCCCTGCCCACAAAGAGCCATGGCCATTCCAAGTAGGATTGTTGACTTTTGCCCTTCATTTGGCAGACCACCATACTGTTCCACAAACTGCATTTGAAATCTCTCTCATTATCAAATGTCTCAGTATTACAGTATTGCAGGATTAGGACTAGCTCCTCTCTGAGATACACAAATTCAGTGTCCCACTGGGCATGCTGGATTTATTTATTTATTTTTTATGATTTTCAATTTTATACATTTCAATAATTTTACAAGGATTTTAACATTTCAAAACTCCACTTCCTTCCCCCCTCTTTCTGCAGTTCCTTAAAATTATTTTTTATATTTGCATATTCCAAATTAACTTAAATTACACATTTATTCCTCTACTTTAAATATATACTCTTATAAAACTGCGGGTTATTACAATAATCCTGCCAATGTTCTTATCTGTTTACAGTTTGTTTGTAAATATTCAATAAACCATTTCCATTCTTTTTTTAAAAAGTTACCTTGATTTTTTACTCTTCCGGTAAGTTTCGCCATTTCTGCATATTCCATAAGCTTTTGTATCCATTCTTCCTTTGCTGGACTTCTGCTTCTTTCCATTTTGGGGCCAGTAACATTCTTGCTGCTGTAATCACATACATAAATAAGTTTCTATACATTTTAGGTAGTTCTGTCCCTATAATTCCAAAAAGAAAAGTTTTTGTTTTTTGTTTTTTAACAAAGGTTATTTTAAACATCCTTTTCTTTTCATTATATATCATTTCCCAGTAAGCTTTAACCTTACTACAAGACCACCACATATGACGATTGGGCATGCTGGACTAAGCACATGGTTCTTTGGATACCTTGCCTGGATACCAGCCCTCTCAACCAATGCCAAGAGAGAGACTAGAAGTCTCAGCAAAGAGTTTTGTGACATAGTAAAGACTCATACATTATGTCATAAGCTTTTGTGAGCTGTCATACCTGTGTGCAGGTGAATAAAGCAGTCTCAAGGGTATTCATTTGTATTTATTTATAAAATCATTTGTACATAATTTAGCATGTATTTATGCATACACATACACAAGAGGGGAAACTAGATGTGTTAGCTAGATTAAAAAATTGCTTTAGCATAGGAATATCCTATGTTGTTCAGAAAGTCACACGTGGAAAATTTCGTAGCAATGAGAACACATCCTTTATTCACTTATTTTGTATTCTAAAGAACAAAAGCTTGGGAATCAACTGTACCAAGAGAAACTATGTAGTTGTTTCGAGTCATTTTTTACCTTCTTTTGCACTCTAGGTTGTGTTTCCATTTTTCTCAGCTAAACAGCATATAAATTTCAGTATAATTGAGTAGATTAAAAACAAACAGCCTGATTCTAGCTGGCTTTATTTGTCACAGTTGAAATAGTAGCTTGGGATGTAATGACTGAAGTGGGAAAATAATGTCCCCTCTTGCCAAATGACTTATTAACTAAAGGAGAACAGAAGGGCTTAGCAAAGGAATGCAGCTAGCCTGTCCCTGTCTCCCAAGCCTTATGGGTGACCAAGCAGTTCACCTGAAGTTCCTGATTATTCCTTGGTAGTCCCATTCATACTAGTCTCACACTTGGTGTTACTTGTGCTGTCAGATACAGGTGGGTGTGCATGGTTTGTGTGGAACAGCCTTGTGGGTGAAATGGGGACCGGTGTTGGACCTACTGAACTCCTTGGTTTGAAATGGCTTCCACATTCATTTTACCAATTGGGGCGCTATTCTTGGCTCACATAGATTAGCTGTATCGCCTACATGAAATATATGTATTAAACAATACAGGAACTTAGGAGGCAATTCTACACTGAGTAATACACCCACCATATGCGTGAGAAAAGTGCTGCTGAGAAGAACAAATGACATGCAAATTCACTTTGAAAGACGTGTTGGAGGAATCAGCTTGTGACAGTTTAAAGAACCAAGTGTTAAACTGTAGAAACCATGTTCAAATAATCCATATTATTTTGGCAAGGTACTTTTGTTTTCTGACTTCTATTTTTAGTCAACGATGTTAACATTGCCTATAGCACCCAGTTCCTTCATGCCTCAAAGAGTCTCATGCATGATCCATATAGCAGTGTCTTCTTGCAGAAAGATGCTGTTTGTATTATGCATTCGTGCTGAAAGAGATAAAGAATAATCATTAGCAAAACAAGTGGTTTGGAGGGGAAATATGCATTATTTTCTTTCCAGCGAATGAAGCCCGCTGTAATCGGTTTTGGGGAAAGTCTATGATGGAGGAACTTCATTTGTGCCTAGAATGCCCTGATCTATTTATAAAAAAATCGCAATTAAATTGAGCAATGTGGACTGAAGAGGTGTAATATTTACACTACAAACTATGCCACCTACAGATTGGCTGATCTCCCTTTTCAACAGCCCAACATTTCTCTCACATTACACGCCTACATCACTAACTGATCTAATCTGAGGGGAAATTATTTCCTACTCCAAAGTATGGCCTGGTTTCAACAGAACACAATAATGTTATGAAGCCTGGCTTGAAAATAATTTTCAGAAAGGTGAAATCCTTCAAATCAACTATTTGGCAGGAAAGGATTCAGATGGTGGCGATCAAGATCACCCACTTCCCTTCCTGAATAGCTGATTAGCCAGATGCTAGATTTTGTAACTCTTTGTTTACAAGGTTGCAGACGGGCTGTCATTGCTATTGGATCAGGCTAGGGATTGAGATGTATTAATTTGCATGCATGGTAAAGGTAAAGGACCCCTGGATGGTAAAGTCCAGTCAAATTTGACTATGGGGTGCGGTGCTCATCTCACTTTGGGCCGAGGGAGCTGACATTTGTCCACAGACAGCTTTCCAGGTCATGTGGCCAGCATGACTAAACTGCTTCTGGCACAACAGGACACTGTGACGAGTGCCAGAGTGCACGGAAATGTCGTTTAACTTCCTGCCGCAGTGGTACTATTTATCTACTCGCACTGGTGTGCTTTCGAACTGCTAGGTTGGCAGGAGCTGGGACAGAGCAACGGGAGCTCACCCATCATGCAGATTCAAACTGCCAACCCTCTGATCGTCAGGCCCACAAATTTCAGTGGTTTAGAGCGCAGTGCCACCCGCTCCCGATTGCATGATTCCCCATCCACCATGGATGATGATAATAATAATAATAATAATAATAATAATAATAATAATAATATATTTATACCCCTCCCATCTGGCTGGGCTTCCCCAGCCACTCTTGGCGGCTTCCAACAAAATATTAAAATACTGTAATGCATCAAAATTAAAAGCTTCCCTAAACAGGGCTGCCTTCAGATGTCTTCTAAAAGTCTGGTAGTTGTTGTTCTCTTTGACATCTGGATATGTGGGCAGAAACCTGTTTCCATGCATGTGCAGCTGGACTGAAGCATGTGTGGTTCACATACCAATTTCAAAGCTAATTCACATGATTATCTGCTTATATGAAACTGCTGAGTATCGCAGTGTCAAGAGTCTGTGGCCATGATGCATGCTAAACTCTACCTTGCCGGGCTTTTTAAGAATGCTGAACGTGGCATCTTTTATTATGAAGATGGTGCAGGCAGGTTTTCATTACTTGTGTTAGCCCTGAAGAGTTGTAGCTAACAAATAATTCTGGTCATGTTGTACAGATACGCTTGTTCACTGAGGGATGATTGCCACATTAGAATGTAAAGGCACCGGATGACTCCCAGGAGTTGCTCCCATCTCTGAGAAAACCTGAAAACATCTTGTTTGGAATGAGTAATCTGGCTCTCAGCCAAACTTATAAACGGTCAAATCACTGCCATATATTTTAGTTTGTGGGGCTGGCTGGGAGCCAGACACACACAAACACACACTTTCAAACTAGATAGTTACAGGTTGCATGTCTTTTCAAATTTAGCCATTGGATGCCCTCAGGACATTCAGAGAGTAGGGAAAGGGGCAGGAGAGACAGTGAGGAGGATTCCCTGCTCCTTCATCTCTCTCTTATAAATTCCTCCCTTTGGCAAGTAGAAGAAGCCCATTTTGCCCCCCTAAGCTCTGAAGATGTGGTGCAAAGCCTCCTCAGGAGTCCCCCACATCAAGTGTTTGAATTTCATGGTGGCCAGAGGGGACCTTATCTCCTGACACTTTGTGATGATACTCTTATTTGTTGCAGTTTTATGGCCATGCATGGTGATGCACTTTGGCTGAAATGGGGAAATTAGGGGGTGCGAATTATGAATTTAATTAATGTTGTCTTCCCTGTAATTTGGGCATTGGCCATGACAGACTTCAGGACAAATTCTGTAGACCTATGACTTTGAGGCTTGTTGGGAGTTTGTCTTGAGTTCAAAGGATGAAGAAAGAAAGCAATGTTCATTTCTGGAGGCCAAGACAATTCAGTCCTGCAACTGGGCTGAAGAATCAGAAATGAACAAATCAGGAAGTTGACCCCCATCTCATCTCATGGTATTTCATTGGCTCCTTACCTAGGAAAAGCAAACAGCTGGCCCCTCCCTTCACTTCTGGCTGGCTGAGTGCTGTGCTCGCTAGCGATTCTTCTTGACAGAGGAGGTCAGTACAACCTGCATAGATTTCTGAAGCTTTGCAGAGAGTTGGGGGGTAATTCTGACCCACTGACTTCTGTGGGCAAATGCCCCAAATTTCCTCTCTCACACATCTGCATCTTCCTTTCTAGGGCTGAGTTATAACCCACCCTCCACTTCACTAACTTGTTAGCAGCTGATGAATTACAGAGGGGGGAGAATTTCACCCATTTTTTCATGGTGACATTTACGAGAGTTGGTTAGCATGGTAGTGAGTGATGATGGTTTTTTCCTCAAACTTTAAAGCTAAATTTAGTTCTTGCTTGTTGTGGCGATGGCAGTAACCAAATTCTTAATAGCAGCTACTAATCAACAGCCATAATTTCCCAATCTGACTCTACAACGACCTCGGACTTATACTAAATAATGACGTAGCATCGTTTTGAAAAGACTCTGTAAGAGGAAATAGCAGTTATCAGTTCATGGGTGCTAAGAACTCCATTATTGTTGCCACCACCGGGGTCAGGGTAGGGTTTAAATCACAAGCACAGAAGAGAAGAAAAAGACTTACTCTTTCTGGTTGCCACAACAACTTGCTCTCCAAAACTGTGGGAAAATGTTGGTGGTTTCCCTAGCCTGCAAAAATCCCAGTGAAAAGTTTGAAAAACTAAACTTTTGGTTCAACCTTTGAAAAGGAACCATGCCATGGTAAGCCATTTGGGATCTAGTCCTGGTAAATAGCAAACCTGCCAAAGCACTCATGAGCAGTGCCATTCCAGCAGCCGAACAACAGGAGGAATCCAACATTGTGGGACATGATACTAAGTTTCCTTGTTCAGAAGGAGTCCCAAGGAATCCAGTGGCAATGACTGGCTGGTCAGCATGTATAGGATTGATGCCATACAGCTTGTTCCTGTGCATTTTTCTTTGGAAGTAAGTCCCACTCTGTTCAGTGCTTCTCAAATGTACACATTTCTGGAAAATATGGTAAAAAATATGCAAACTCCAGTCAAAATAATATGTATACAGATGTGACTTTTAAACAAAACAAAACAAATTCCACTATTGGATGCAGATACAGGAGAAAACGGGGCACTGAATATTTTAAAAGGTAACTGAATGGACTTGGAAAATGAATCTATCCCTGTTGCTTCCTTGAGTGCCATTAGACAGTGGCAGCAGCTTTCAGCAGTCCCCATTGATAACATAATTCCCCATTGGGAACCACACAAATAATGTGCCATTCCCAGAGGCATTATAAGTATATATATATATATATATATATATATATATATATATATATATGGCCCATCCCCTAGTGCAAGCCCTAGTGCAT